CCCCCCCTCTAGATCTCAGTAATCCTCATCCTCCCCGAAACCAAAGGCATGTCACTCGAACGCATGGACGCCATTTTCGGCGAAGTAGACGCTGTTGCCGCTGGAGAAATCGAGACCATGTCATCTGCTGAGAAAGAGAAAGAGAAAATCGAGGATAGGGAATCAATTGTTGGGGATGAAAAAGCGACGATGGTGGTGGTGGGGGTTTGGTTGAATGTAGTCGTGCGGATTCGAGGTGATTTGTGGAGGTTGGATGATCTTGGGTAAAACCTTCGTGGAGGAGATTTTTAATCACTGCGTATTATTCGAGTCTTGCCACTTTTGGATCTGCCGAAAGAAATACTAGGTATGAGTAGTGACATACCATTCATACATCCATGATCCATCATAGAATTTCATCCCATCATTTCATCTCATCATTGTAATAGCTTTAGCTCTAGCTCCAGCTCTGACATGATTCCGAGCTCATTCCTTTTCATTTTTCATTATTCATAATTCCTACTCGTAATTCATAATTCATGATTCATTAATAACTATTCGTAAAAAAAATACTACCTACCTACATACATGCCAGTCAACTTAACTTCATTGAAGACAATAACCAGTACACTCAACATCTTATCTTATCCCATTCTTCCCATCCAGACATGTACATGCATTCCATCCATCCATCCATCCATCCATCCATCCCCATAACCACCATGATAGCCATTACTCCCTTTTCTTTTCTCCCCCCATTAATCCCTATAAGCACCCGATTGCGAACCTGGAGGGCTTCTCTCCGGACTAAACGGTACCCCTTCCCTTCTATCAATTTCATGGGCTAGAATCCTATCATTAGCCGTTGATGATTTATTACTTGCTGCGATCGCACGAATGGCCTATTCATAACTCAACATTAGCATTATCTTCTCTCTCTGCTCAAAAGATAAATGATAATTTCGATGAAAGTCGAACGACTAGTCATCTCACACCTTTCAGGAGGGCTTCAGAATCATATCATCTAGGTGACATCACTGGCATAAAGAAGATCACTCACAGCCATCACAGCAGTTCCCTGTCCTGTCTTTCCTGCATCCCCGTTTCCTCTTGCAGGCCGTCCACCTTCACTCCGTCCTGAATTATCTCGTACAGCTGTAACAACACTACTAGTCGAATCACCCCTCTCAATACCTTTGCGCAAGCCCAGACCCAGTTGTTGTCTTAAACCCGTATGAATTCCTTGTTCTTTTCCTGGCGATGTACTCAGAGGAGAAGTAGATTTCGATGCCGTACTGGAGGACTTTGGTCTGATTTGGAAACTACCTTCCGCAAGTCGAGGTGAGGCTACAAATTCATCTTCGTTATTCATAACATACGAGAGACGACTCGATGGCACGGTGTTGCTTCTCTTGTTGACGATGTCTTGGGAAGTTTTATGTAACATAGAAGGTGTATCATCCCCGGCTTTAAACGAGAATCCCTTTCGGGAGTCAACAGAAGAAGAAGCTTGCCCATCATCTTGCGAATTGACATCAACCCATGGTTGCACACTACTCGTTCCACCCAAAAGTAATGGATCAAGTTCAGGATGGCTGATAGGAATATCTGGGAGAGGCTTCTCTTTGATATTGATGCGAACTCCAGTACTTGGACCTGGGAGCTTAGGAGTGCGATTAGGAGTAGGAGCTTGAAGACTTTCGATGAGAACGGAGCGCGAACTGGTATCATCTGATTCCGACGATGAGTCGAATACCATACCATGTTGTCGCTCTAGTGCATCAAGTTGCACTGACGTCAAGCGAGATCTCGGTTGATTATCTACTGCCGAGTGGAAGCTTTCAGTGTCTTGAACTGAAGGGCGTTCTCTGCGTCGTGATCCGACGGTTCTTTCCTGGTGTATATTTTCGTCCTGGAGAGAGAGATGGCTTGCGCTTGTGGGAGTTGCGAAGGACTGTGGCGAGGTGGTCTGTTGCAAGGGGTCTATATCCCACTCGATAGTAGTGGCAGAAGAATCTAATATATGTCAGGCATCATAAAGCGCAATATAAGACAAACAGCTAACCTCTTCCAGAACTATAACGTGCAAAATTCTGCTTTATCTTCTCCATACCATCCTCAAATACATCCGCAGCTCTTCTCGCTCCATGGATAACACTTTTTGACCGCGCCATCGTAACGTTTTCCATTCCACCCTCTGTTTTAGATAGAAGAACTTCGAGATTCTTCATTTCCTTTTGGTAATCTTTTTCTTTTGCTTTCCATCTATAAACACACAGCAAAATTAGCATTCAAGTGCTCAACACGCGCCCACCCATTAAGATAAACGCGAACTTACTGTTCTGCCATAACTTCAAACTCCCTAATATCCTTCGTATGTCTCAACTTCATCTCCTCAATCTCTCTATCTTTCGCCTCCAACTGCTCCTGCAAATCATTATACGATTCCAACACATGTAAAATACACGTATTATACTCAACCGGCACCGGCTCCATTAAGTTCCTCGTCATCATAACCACCTTAAGCGTTTCTGCCATCTGATTTCCAGAAGGTTTATGATAGACATTTTCCGGAATATTAACATGTTGAAAGGGAAACGTATCCGGCGTGTGAAGATTCGTAGAACTGGAACGAAAACCAATGTATGATGAAACTCGAGAACTGGGTCGAATGGACTTCATATTGTCTTCAGTTTCGTGAGTATCCTCAGAACGATCACTTGAGGCTGACTGAACTGGAGTTCGAGTCCTTGTAAAGACAGGTCGGAGCCATTGATCCATGTTTAATGTCGATTCTCACTGATTCACTGTCGATGAGAGGAGTTTGATTTTGTGGCAGGTTTGATTCAAGTGAGTTGGACAAATAAGATCAGAAGGAATCATAAAACTGAAAAGAGAAGGAACAAACCAAATCAAATCCAAAATTGTAATATTACCACCAAAAATAATTAAAACAATACCTACCCAGAATCTTCTCCTTAATGAAGTAGAGACCTGCATCAATGGCAGCTTTTCTTCAAGAAATTGTTGAATTTATAGACAAATCCAAGTCTTTGAAATTAGTATCTAGATTGATCATGAAAGTGAATGGAATCTGGCAATCTTTGGTGGTGGATTGACATTGACATTGACATTGACCTGCTCAACCGCTCAACCCCTTTCATACTGGATCAAACAAGAAACAAACTTTGGTACCACTCAAATTTCAAAACATTACTATGACTCTTTGCATTGTCAGAAAATATTTCATGGTTTCGTGGAGGGGGCAAGCTTTTATGCGACTTCGATAGGGCGAGTTTGTATGTGAGGAGCATTCAAGCGAGTGATTATTAAATGATAATAATAATGATAACAAAATGAATAGATCGCGAGCTTTAACTTGCTTTTATGAAACGCTGCTTACTATTTGTGCAGGATATAAAGGTATCTTTTCCATTTCCAACCCAATTTGACTCCATTTGCTAAAGCAGTCATGCCCCGACCATATGTGCAACCCTATCGACCGCCATGAAATATATCTTTATGATTCTACCATTTAAATGACTCCCCGAATCTAGTGAAACAAGTCCTCGGCCTTCTGCCTCCTTCCACCCCTTCCGATTATTCTCTCTGAAAAAAGCTCTTTCCCAGCATTTCCACCCCCGGCACGGGCAGGAAATAATTCATTCATGGTTGAATTATCAGACGCCAAGCCTTTGATAGAAAATCCAGATGAAGCAGGCTTCGCAGTTCCACGAATGCTAAAGCCTTGCGGTTGTCCTGATGTAATTCTTTCTGCCAGAGAGAGTTTGCTGGAAGGACGAACGTCCGAGCTTCCATCAAGAAAGGGGACAGGCATTTTTTTGGCGAATAGATCTGCTGTCTCGTCTGCAGCATCGAAAACGCCAGATCTGCGATGTGTAGTACCTAATTTGCTTGGGAAGAGTTCCTTTGTAATAGTTTCTCTGTGAAGGCGGGCCTTGATAGCCTGAGCCTTTGACCTGTTCTCTGCAGCTGCTGTGTCTCGATGTTGTCTATTGTTGTCCCTTGCTCTTTCCTCGTTCCTGATAGGTGATGCACTCCGATCTCGTAATCTTCCATTATTACCACCCCTATCTGGAAACAGCTCTCGCAAATCAGAGCCTCGTCGTTTGTCAGTTCGTTCTCTAAAATCGCTGGCAGATGATCCAGACCCTGATCGTCCGTGACCTGTACCAGCTCTAGTCGCCAAAGCTGCTTCATCATCGTCGTAAAGACTTGCATCAAAGCCTGCTTCCGCATCTCCACGTTGTCGGTTCCGTTGTTCTCGTTCATCGTATCGCTGGCTTCTGTAACCACCATCATCCCGGTCCCGATATCTTCTTCCACCCTCGCGTTTTCTGCGCTCTGCGGGATCATGTTCGGGATTGAAAAGGTAGAAGCGACTTCTTTCTCGGGCTCCTCTTTGTTTACGATCTCCAACCACGGCGATGCGTACTTGTAAGCTGATCTTAGGATTGTCCGGGAAAGGGTTGGCAGGGAAAGATTGTAAAATAGGAAGCTGCGAAAGATCCTCCGGAAATTCTTGTGCACACAACTTTCGGAGAGCTTCCTCAGCAATATCGGAGTTAGGATACACCAGATTCAACGATGAGTCATCAATCCATTCAACCCGTTCAATAGACCCGGTATAGTAATATGAGGCAAAATTCTTTACGTCCTTCGTTGTAAGGTTGTCCAAGCCACGGATATGTACTTTCTCTGGTGCAGGCTTTTCTGCGTCTGGACCGGAGTGGTCGTTTGGAGCTGAAATTTCGTTTTGTATTTCCCCAGGCTCATCTGGCTATATCAAAGAAAACAAATTAGTAATGGCCCGGCTGCTTGTAATGAGGCATGGAGAACAAAAAAAAGGTATTGAGCACGCGACGTGGGAGTCAAACGTCCTAAGTCCGGCGCATACATTGCTCACAATTAATTCAATGTCTACCATATCTGGAATAGGCAACTCTTCGATCATTCCCACGTCAATATCCATATCGATATCCATGTCGGTCGCCATATTGAAATGAGGTAGTTTCGATGATGTCGTATTCTCCTAGGTGTTGTTTGCTGGAGATGTTGGTTCTTCGTATCAAGTGTCCCAAACAAGATTGGTTGTCTGCTATGTTCAAAAGTGTGAGGTATCTGCTTCTATTTCGATTGTTTCGAAGTTGAGTGCTTGTCTCGGAAACTGGAGCTGAACTACTCAGGTATTGTATGTGTACAGACGCGTCTTTATTATGAGGTAGACAGATGATTGTAGGGCGCGGATTCGGATTATCTTGTATAGTCCGAAGTTGAGGTTCGTAAAAAGACTGTTGGAAATATGCGCGCAAATGAGAGTTCTTTGAAAGACGCGTGGTGAATTAAATATTTGTTGCGATTGTGATTTGAATGAAAGATTTTGGTGAATTGGTTGTCATGACATAGCTTATTAAGTTATTAGTGGTCTCTCGAAATCGAAGTTTGTTTCTAACGTTGTTGGCGCAAGCGCGGAGTGTGGGGGTCGGATTGAATTTTTAGTAAGGATTTTTATATACAAGAGTTTAATATAGGAAATACATGAAAATTAAAATATATAAATATATAAATACAACATGAATACATGAATACATGAATGTTTAAATATATAAATGTGTAATTTTTGGATTTGAATGCTTAATTATTTTTGATTTTAGAATACGAATCTTATAAAGACCCCGTTCAATATCAAAACACCCCAAAGAAGTGTATACCTCTTGTATTATAAGATATTGTCCAATACTAATGGCTTTGCGAATTCTAGTATCTTATACTGTTTCATTTTAGCTATCTTTTAAGCATTTTGAGAGTGAATATGACCTACAGTTCGTCGTTACCTTAAACATCCTGTTATGCTGAAAGCGTGCCAAACATCGCAGATTGAACAAACCACCAATGTGACAAAGATCATACATACGCATCATTATAGCAGATTTATGACTCTATTGATCTGAGGCGAGGCTAAATGATGTCGGCTGTTCGCAAAGGTTGAGAAAGGTGGGGGATAGGGTTGAAGAAGAGAATCTTAGATTCCTTTCGCCATATCAAAGATATCCGAATTGCAAGTGGAGGATATCAGAAAGTAATCATTCTTTTCGAGGATTCAAATGGGTAGAGTCTTTGCCATCGCGATGATCTTCCACCATTTGTGTATATCTGCGACCTCTTGATTCACATAATCACACAAAGGTCCTGTAATTACACCTACTTTCAACCGATTTTTGGTCTGAAAGTGGATGGCTATTATAAAAATAGATTCGCGATGATGTGCTATTTGAAAGTTGTAGCAGCTTGCCAAAGATCCAAGACCACAGTTGTTCTATGTGGCCAAGTTGATAGTTTCAAACCTTTACATCGTTTTCATGCGCGTCTAGTGTCCGCAGAAATTCTTGTGTGATGATTAATAGATCTAATTGCCCATATAATGGACTGGTTTCCATCCATTCTTTGAGAGCTCTGCATGAATTTGAATGCGGCGGGTGAAAAGGGTTGTAAATGAGAAGCGTTGGTGAAATTCACGGTATATCAGATACCAATGTAAGTATTACTTCGCTTCAAAACTCGTTGATGATGCTCACTGCCAATTAGATATACTATACCACTATCTTTACCACGTCGTTAGTTCAGAAGATGAGAAGCAACCAGTCAAAAGCCCCTGATTATCCAATTGCAAGACAGCTGACCATGCGAATAATACCCCTTTTTATAAGACGCAAAGTGAAGTCATCGTATCACCAAAGGTTCCATCGGACAATCCAAGCTATATCACTGGACAGGAGTAACCAATAATCTAGAATAATTCACTTCAAGGAATGTGTGGTGCAATCAGAAGAGTCGAATCAAAGTTGCTAATTACTTGAGAACTGCCGTAACGACGATTTTTCCTGTCTGGGCAGGACCACACCAACGTACTCGAAGCTGCTACATCAAGGTCTTCTGTGGAAAAAGAAAAAATGTCTCGGGCAACTTACCCGTCAGGTCCCCATTCCGCTTTCATATATAAGAAAGTACGGATCAAAATCAATGCAAGATTTTTGAATAAACCATGATCGAAAGATAGAAAGAACCATGGGATGAAATTCAATAGAAGCCCGAGAAACACTATCAGTTGAAAATTGAATCACATCAACAGGACGGAAGTCCTCCTTGTGTATTTGATTAAGAGATCACCATAAGAGATATGCCGGAACCCACGAGATGAGAGTTCTCAGGGCAATATCGAGAAGGAGACTGTGTCTTACATATGAATTAATATCTGCTCAATGATTTCCATCAATAAATTGATGATGTAATAATTCCCCCAAAAAAGAAAGACTAAAGTGGTATTCCTGGTTCTAGCAATAGTAAAAATCAATATAATTCACCTGATTATAAGTATAACACTACCAGTACCTCTTTTGGATTTGCAAAAACCGCTGGTGCCCTTCGTTATTCCCCTTCTTCTCTTTCTAGATTACTACTTGGTAACAATCCTTATACTTCTTCTTTAATGAAAGAGGCACAGGAAATTATTACGGTGAACCCCGGGAAATAACTAGGGTCTTATTCCTCTTTATCTATTTCCCCTACTTCGGAATCCTTCGTACTTGTGGAGAGCCGAGTCGACAACATCCATCTAATGCAGGTCTTGTATGAGATGGAACGAAGACTAGAGGAAGTACAGACTAAACTGGCGGAAAAAGATGCTTCATCCACCCGCACTTATGGTGAGAGTGGAGTATCTAGTAAGCAAACCCCATTGATCCACACTTCCCGCTTTCCTCTCGGTTATACTACTCAAGTCCCTGGTTTTACCACATCATACTATATCCACTGTGATGATACCTTCTTTAAGAATGAGCCTATCCCCTCTATCAAAAACCAAGGACTATATCGCCCCATTTCTATTCCTGCACACTTTTATTGTATTATCAGTTTCACATTAACGCCAGATACAGGAACGAATATTCATCATGAGAAAGCTTACCGAGCTACCTCTGCTTTGCACTCCTCCTCTTTCCGACAACTCAGAATCCCTGGTCTAGCCACAAAACTTTCAGATGGCTAAGCCCCTAGTCTCCGAGTACAAGCATGGAATAAAATGGTAATAACAGTCCTAAGGAACTACGACACTCACTTTTTTTCAAAAGATTATTGCTATATATAGTTGTTTGACCAAACTGAAGGATAGTTATGTAATACCTTGGAACCTCTCTACTTGAACAATAAATACAATGTTTATAACCTCATTCAGCAAGTAGTTTCTGTTATACTAGATCCCTCTGTGGTTCGAATAATTAAAATTAAATACAACTCTTTTGTTATATTGCCCAAGGAAAGATTCTTTGATTTCTATTCCAAGTTTCATGATTTTACTGCTTAGGCAAAGATCCTTGATGATAAACGCCTCTGTGATAACTTATTTAATAAAGCAGTATATTGCTTGACAAGTGTTTTTAACCACAAGTTCACACGTTTCATTACAGTTAATGAATATACCAAAATCCTAGGCAATCTCGATATCGTTTATTAACGATTTGCTGCAACCCACGCTCTTTGTTTTCATTATTCTCTTCAGGGTATTCATTCTACCTAATCACCTTCCATTTCCAGTGCTACAATACTTTATAGCAATACTCCTGGAGTATACAATAGATCTGCGGCACTCTCTAATATACCTTACTACTCGCCTTTTGCCATACCTGTCCTCACTCTATGACACTTTTCAAGTGGACCCCCTCCTACTTTTTTCTTTGGTTTCAGATAAACCACTCCTCAACATACACCTCGTATCTCTGCTATCATCAATAAAATTGACGATGAGATAAATCCCAAGTTAAATATTGAAGAGTTCGATGATGACTATGGTGGTCAAGAAATTGACCAAATTGACCAAATTAACCAAATTAACTAGACCGAGGATTTTCTATCTTGTACAAAAAAGGATACTCCATAAATACCATCTCTCTTATAGGGCAAATACGGGATATGTCATATCTTGACTTACGCACCCTTATGGGTAACTGCCATCTCTCTTTTCCAATTACTTTGGTAAAGGATGGCATCGCACTCAAAACACAAGGTTTAATAGATTCCGAAGCTAATGGTTATGCTTTAATTGACTAGAACCTGGTAAAGTATCTTGACTACTGTACAAAACCAATCATACGAAAACTATCGACTCCTATATCTATCAAAGGGTATAGTGGTATTATCGGTTCACATGTTTCTTAAATTATTTATTTTACTTTAATAATCAATAAATATATTCAGTGTAACACTTCTTTCCTGGTGTTCCCCTTGGGGCATCATCCCATCATTCTAGGCTGCCAATGGCTAGATATTCATGATATTGGCTTAGACTGTCGTTGCTGACAACTTCAATGGCGTGCAGACTATCCTTCTACGGCATTTTATGTCAAGTACTTTTATATCGATCCTCAGGCTATACATCTTCGCGATATTATCAACAGAAAACATTAGCAGGACACTATTCGACGAGATACAGCAATCGACAGTGAAAACGCCTCCAAGGCCTTATACTCTTTACACCAGAGTATTGTCAATTCATTTCATCTATTATCATTCTTTTCACCTAAAGAGATGAATAGCAATCCCTTGATTCCACTCCCTGGCCTGCTGCGGGAAAAGAATCTTTTATTCCATGATAGATTTGAAAGAATAGATCTTTTGAGAGAGTCTCTTGTCGTTGCCCCAACCAATCAAATTGCTTCTAACCCTGGCGCTACCAGGTTAGCCGATACCTCATTAACCAGTACACAAACCAAAAAGACTAGAATCATTTCTTCAACCTTTGACATCCCTTATGCAAAAGTATTCTCAAACAGGAGAACCTTTAACAAATCCCTGGGCTATAACCTTACCCAAATATCAAGAGACCTCAGAGAACCTTACTCGAATCCTCCGATACCCACAATTCGAAGAAAACGTCCGATTTCGCCAAATTCACGATTCCTACCTATAATGAAATCATTGGACATCCACGAAATCTCAGCTCAC